GTCAAACAGTTTAATTAAAACAGCACACACTTGCTGGCTGTTTTTATAGTCCAAAATGTAAAACACAAAGATAGCACTGAGCTACAAAATAAAAACTGATAGCAAAAATAACTTCGTAGCCAAAAGACAGTCCAAAGGTTCAAGGTTCCAGGATTCCAAGATTACAGGAGACAGGTTCAGGATACCGAAAAATCCAACAGCCCTGGGGAAAAAACCAGCAGCAAAATACAACAGATACTTTTCTCCCAAAGTTCAGTCTCAAGGCTAGCTCCTTAAATCCAGTAACACCCAGCTGCAACCCATCTCCTGCATACCCCCACCCCTAATTGCTTTCACCCATGAACTCCCACTTACAGATTACCAAACCCTCTAGAACTAATACATTAACTCTTCCATCATCAACCACCATCAACTGCAGAATATATGACACCAGGTGTTTTGGCCGACAACTCCCAGAAATCCCAGCCAGTTTACCAGCTTCATATCATAATAAATTGTGGCAAGTTCTTGGTGGGATGGGCATACCAAGCCACCTTGTCTGGGAGTTGAAAGCCAAAACATCTGGGGACCCACAGGTTGAGAACCACTGCGCTCAATGCTGCCTAACTTACTTCCAAAGGGGTTTGACCTCTGAAACACATATAACAAAGGTTTTAGTTACATTTATCTCATTCTCATTTTATTTCAAGAATATAAACTTCATACCATAATAAATTGTGGCAAGTTCTTGGTGGGATGGGCATACCAAGCCACCTTGTCTCACTCCTGAGGAATCTATACAAGGACAAAGTAGCAACAGTAAGAACTGACCACGGAACAACAGACTGGTTCAAGATTGGGAAAGGCATACGGCAAGGCTGCATACTCTCACCCAATCTTTTTAACTTGTATGCAGAACACATCATGCGATGTGCGGGGCTTGATGAATGCAAAGCTGGGGTGAAAATTGCTGGAAGAAACATTAACAACCTCAGATATGCAGATGACACCACTCTGATGGCCGAAAGCGAGGAGGAGCTGAGGAGCCTTCTAATCAAGGTGAAAGAAGAAAGCGCAAAAGCTGGGTTGCAGCTAAACCAAAAAAACCAAGATTATGGCAACAAGAATGATTGACAACTGGAAAATAGAGGGAGAAAATGTGGAGGCCGTGACAGACTTTGTATTTCTAGGGACAAAGATGACTGCAGATGCAGACTGTGGCCAGGAAATCAGAAGACGCTTACTTCTTGGGAGGAGAGCAATGTCCAGTCTCGATAAAATAGTAAAGAGTAGAGACATCAGACTGGCAACAAAGATCCGCCTAGTCAAAGCCATGGTATTCCCTGTAGTAACCTACGGATATGAGAGCTGGACCTTAGGGAAGGCTGAGAGAAGGAAGATAGATGCTTTTGAGCTGTGGTGTTGGAGGAAAGTTCTGAGAGTGCCTTGGACTGCGAGAAGATCCAACCAGTCCATCCTCCAGGAAATAAAGCCCGACTGCTCACTGGAGGGAAGGATACTAGAGGCAAAGTTGAAGTACTTTGGCCACATCATGAGGAGACAGCAAAGCCTAGAGAAGACAATTATGCTGGGGAAAGTGGAAGGCAAAAGGAAGAGGGGCCGACCAAGGGCAAGATGGATGGATGGCATCCTTGAAGTGACTGGACTGACCTTGAAGGAGCTGGGGGTGGTGACAGCCGACAGGGAGCTCTGGCGTGGGCTGGTCCATGAGGTCACGAAGAGTCGGAGACGACTGAACAAATGAACAACAACAACAAAACTTCATATGTTGGTGGGTGACTTGAAGGTGTACACATACGCCCACATATTAACTCGGGATGATTTTGTCACATGTAGCTTTAAAAGCAGTTTTATAAGTATCATACACAAGGGTGCATTTTCCCCCAGAAGCTGTTCTCTTTCATCTTTTGCCATTAATGCCCTACCTTGTGGCTTTTGAAACCTCTAATACACAGAACTAAAAAGCTTCTCTTAGGTAAGAAGCAAATTTATACAAAGCTAAATTTTTCTAGCATTTAAACTTGGGACACTTAGATGTTGAACCCATACATGATGCACTTTAATTGCTACCTCTTTGTATTCAATTTCTCTCTCTCCCTTTCTCTCTCTCTCTCTCTCTTACTAAGTGAGCGGCCAGTCATTTTTTCTGTATTCCATGGTTGGCATAAATTATATACATCTCTATCATTTTCTTTTTTGAAAGCCACACAGTTGAGAAGTCATACTGCTGGAGAAATGTATCAGGAGCCACTGATAGATTTTAAGAGCCAGTTTCGCTCAGAGCTTTATCACAATGTGAATACATTCCACTTCTTCATTGTCAATATTGGAATCTTGAGTAGTTTGAAAAACCAAGACCTTGGGCTTTTTCCAGCATTGGTGAAGTTGGACCTTCAGGCTATGACATGTCTTTAGATCCTGTTTTATGTTCTTTTCACTTCCCCCTCGAGCTGTTTTGTGTTGGTAGAGACTGTCAAAAAAGATTGAGGATGGGGGAGGATGCTCTTATTCTCAAAAAGTCCTTCAGGCTGTTCATTACAGCCAAAGGGTTCCTTCCTCATGCAAAGCCTATCTCGCTCAAGCTGTGTGTGGGTGTGTAGTACTGATGATGTTTGATTCAAAGGGCTGCAGTTACAAGGAAAGAATAACAAAGCTGGTTCCTTTTTGCCTTGGGCCATGTGATGGGCTGTAATTTAAAATCAGACTGTAGCAGAAATGAATCAGTGCGCTCAATAGTGCTTGTAATCCCGAGGAAATAAATGTCATCTTTTTTTCCCTTTGGGGTTTATAACCCATCCTCTTCTATGTGCAGCACAGGCTTAAGGCAAATTTCAGATGGTATGAAGAGTCCCTGCCAACTGCTTGATCATGTCATGGTTAGTACTGACCAGAGCTGGAAGTTGGATTACTTCTCCCAACCTCTGAGGCCCCTTCCAAAATCCACATTGAACATTGAACTGGATTATATGGCAGTGTGGACTTAGATAACCCAGTTCAAAGCAGATATTGTGGATCATCTGTCTTGATATTCTGGGTTATATAGCTGTGTGGAAGGGCCCTGTGTTAATAGAGAGGAAAAACAGATGCAGCCAGAGAGAGAAGAGGACACTACTTTGTAACAGAAACAATAGCAACCCCAAGTGGACAATAAAAGTCTTACCATTCTTCTGGGCTCAAAGCCAGGGCAGGATCGGGACTTTGAGATGAGAGACCATGGATTAAGTATTCTGAACTGGGTACAATTAAGAACAGATTTAAGTGCAGACATCTAGTCATTTGCCTGAGGAGAGGGACAGCGAGTGGGAGCACTTTAGAGACCTGCATAAAATAGCTGAAGTGTGGAATACCTAGCTGTGGGTAGCAATGTTAGTTTTTGGAGCTACTACCTTGAGCATTGTGTCTTGAACAATTGAAAGATGGATTGTACCTTGGATGTTGGATTGTGCAGTAGCCCTGGAAACAGTTAATCAGGGGTCTTCAAACTAAGGCCTGAGGGCTGGATACGGCTCTCCAACATCATTTACCTGGCCCTCACTCAGGGTCAACCTAAGTCTGAAATGACTTGAAAGCAAACAACAACAACAATCCTGTCTCATCAGCCAAAAGCAGGCCTACACTTCCCATTGAAATACTAATAAGTTTATATTTGTTAAAATTGTTCTTCATTTTAATTATTGTATTGTTTTAAGTGTTTGCACTACAAATAAGATATGTGCAGTGTGCGTAGGAATTCAATTTTTTTTTCAAATTATAATTTGTCCCTCCAACAGTTTGAGAGACTGTGATCTGGCCCTCTGTTTTAAAAGTTTGAGGACTCCTGGTGTTAATGAAATAACTTGGCTTTGGAGATTTGAAACAGGCATATGGCTTACCCTCTTGTCTCTTCCTTGCTTGGCTGATAGATTGCTGTGTCAACCTCGGACTGCCTCTGGACTACATTCTGTGCTCGGCAAGATCCCTTTGCATACTGACTTTCATTATTTATTTCATGTTTTAATTTAGGAGTGGGAATCATGCCGCTTGATTTGGCGTAACAATTTTTAAGGAATGCTGAAAGGTGCAGGCCAACAATACCTTGATTCTCGGGACCTAAATAGTGGTTTGAGTCTTAGACTGGGACCCTGAAGACCAAGGCTCAAATTCTTGCTCAGACAAGAAAATCCACTGGGTGACTTTGGGCGAACCATATTCTCTAAGCCTCAGAAGACAAAGGCAGCATCCTTCTAAACAAATCTTGCAAAGAAAACCCGAGATAGGTTCTCCATGGGGCACATTATCAAACACAAGCTCCGTGGGCCGTATCTAGTCATTCACATCATTTTATGTGGCCTGCAAGTCTTTCAATGGGAGGACAACTGTTATAGTGATGCAATCTTACAACTGAAGGCCATCATAAAGTTTACTAAAAGTAAAAATAAAACCTCATAAGTAAAAAAATGAGTTTGACATCCCTTCCTTAGAGTAATCATAAGTCAGAAAAAACTTGAAGGCGTAAACAGTAGCTATGCCACTTTCCAAGTTCTCGAACATAGATAAGTGCCTAACAGAGTTAGGTCACCATCTCAGCAGAAACGAAGGAGATTGGATAGCATGGTGGTTATATTACAGGAGTTCTTTAAAGAATGAAATCTTTTTGTATTAATTTAGATGCCTGTCATATTGGAAACTATTGGAAATGTTGGCCCTTTTGATCTAAACTTTCTTTGCAGCCCTGAAGTAAGATAGACTTCTCACTTTAAAGATAAAGCCGATGTTTCACTAATTTTGATGGGGAGGATATATGCTCAGTTACATTCTGAGCATATATCCTCCTGAGCATTCTCAGGCTTACATTCTGTAAATTGCTTGCTTCTGCTCTGGTTGTATAATACAATCTCATATTTACTAGCCTTTGTGATTCAGTGAGTTGAATGGGAAGTCAGGAAAGAAACAGCATGGAGTGTATGACGGCGTCAGGGATTACATCTAATCTATATTGTTTCTCTCCTTCTATGCCCTAGAGTTAGTGATGTTGCTGGAATGGTGGTCTGGTACAGAATGTACTCTCTTCTCAGACCAGGACACAATCGATAAGTTTGGAAAAGAGCATGTCATCATCATCTTGAACCACAACTTTGAAATTGATTTCTTGTGTGGCTGGACCATGACGGAGCGCTTTGGTGTGTTAGGGGTGAGTGGTTGTAGAGTGGCTTGAACATACTTCATGATGGTTTCCTGAGACAAGTTTGTTGCTAACACAGAAAAAAAATCATTTTTTTGAAGCTTAAACATTAGAAAACCAGTGGAAAATCATGGTTACAGCAGGAATGGGCTGATAGTGGCCTATAGGGCCCCATAAACCCACAGTTCTGGCCTCTGAAGTTCCCCCATCAGTTGCCCAAAGGTCCTCAACCTACACCCAAGTTGTTTTTTTCTTTTTGAAAAAATAAGCATGATTTTGAGCAATTTCCTGCCCCCTAAACTGTGAAGAAAGCCCTGCAAATTTGGGAAAACATATGAAAATATCCCCACCACTACAAGCAACCCATCAACTCATATTGCCTCCAGATACTTAGATTAGCCAATGTATCTCAGAATGGTGATAGGAATAAGGCGACATCTGAGTTTCCTACGTGAGGGAGATGCAGTTCATGGAGGGCCTGGGAAGGATATGTCCCCCTAGCTCATACACAGTTGACCACATCTGCACTAGAGTGTCAGACCCAGGTTAAAACTAGAATTTCAAATACTTATTTGTGGAATATAAATGCTGGAATGGCTGGAGATTTGGGGAAGTGTAATCGAAATGTAATTTCCCCAGACTTCGCTTTAATCCTACTGAAGTTTGGAGCTGATTGGGCACAGATTATTTATTCTCAGACTTACCTCCAGTATAGGGTTTTATAGGTGAAGAACCACACATTTCGCCTTGAGCCCTTTAAAGAAAAAGTGGGGTGTATCTGTCAGAAGTAAATTCCCATCAATATCCAGAAAATGCACTTTAGGAAATGACACAGTTTGCAAATGTTCCATTGTGTTTAAACAAATGGAAATTAATTGTGTGTGTTTCTTTCAGAGTTCAAAAGTCCTTGCTAAGAAAGAACTGTTGTATGTGCCCCTAATTGGCTGGACATGGTATTTCCTGGAAATTGTATTCTGCAAAAGGAAATGGGAAGAAGATAGAGACATGGTTATTGAAGGGCTAAAAAGATTGTCTGATTATCCAGAGTATATGTGGGTAAGTGAACACATCTCTGTACTTTGAACAAGATGTTGAAAGTGTAATAATTTATGGCAGACACGCATATTTATTTATTTATTTACTTACTTACTTACTTACTTACAGCATTTCTACCCCAGGTGGCTAATGCCAATTCAATGCCACAAGATCAATAAACAGCAATATAAAACCATGAATATATAAAATTTAAAAATAATAACATTAATTAAATAGTCACATCACATCACATAGCCGTTTCCAATTACATCACAAAGCCGTTTCTAATTATCATAACAGCCATATGGTCCAGTTCAAAGTCCCTGGTGCTGCTATGCTCTCTCGCCAAAAGCCTGGTTCCAAAACCACGATTTTAGTATTTTCCTAAAGGAAAGGAGAGAGGACGCCAATTTAATCTTGTTGGGGAGAGAATTCCGCAAGCGGGGAGTTACCACTGAGAAGGCCCTGTCCCTCATCCCCACCAGACTCACTTGCGAGGCCGGTGGGACCGAGAGCAGGGCCTCCCCAGTAGATCTTAAACTATGAGGTGGAACTTAGAGGGAGATACATTCGGATAGGTAAGCTGGGCCGGAACCGTATAGGGCTTTATAGGCCAAGACCAGCACTTTGAATTGTGTTCGGAAGTGGAGTGGCAGCCAAATAGAGGTGTTTTATAGTAGGTTTTCCCCTGACATTAAGTCCAGTCGAGTCTGACTCTGGGGGTTGGTGCTCATCTCCATTTCTAAGCCGAAGACGCCTCCAAGGGCATGTGGCTGGTATGACTGCATGGAGCGTCGTTACCTTCCCGCTGGAGCGGTACCTATTGATCTATTCACATTTGCATGTTTTCGAACAGCTAGGTTGGCAGAAGCTGGGGCTGACAGCGGGCGCTCACACCACTCCCTAGATTTGAACCAGCGACCTTTCGGTCAACAAGATCAGCAGCTCAGTGGTTTCACTTGCTGCACCACTGGGGGCTCCCAAGATATTTTATAGACATACACAAATGTGCACACACATGGATAGATATGGCACATTACTGCATAGTGAGTGATCTCTTTTCCAAGCCACACCATGGATAGTTTAGAGATGGAAAACTATTCTGAATTATACATTTCCTGGTCAAAAATGAGTGCCCTGGCAGTCAGAAAACCTTGTCAGGAGAGATAATAACAAAGCACTGAAACTCTTTCACAGTTTTGTCTTGGCTTATGGACATTCTGGAGCTGCTGTCAAGAGTATCATTATGACCCAGGAAGCAGTTAATTCAGGGATCAGTCAGCAAGAATGCTAAGACTACAGTTAAAGTTCTGAGATGGGATGGCAAGTAAAGGATCATGACCCTGGAGAGAATCCCGTGGAAATAAATAACAATCCCTGGGCCAGACCTCCCATAAAGCAAAGTGAAACCAGTACCTTAGAGGGCAAATGTTGAGAGAGAGCAGCAGTGGCAACAATCCGTTGAAGCACAGACACGTCAAAACCATTTCTCTCTCCTGGAGGTGAAAACTGCATGTGCAAATGGTCTGTTTTCTGATCCACTCGGGCTGCTTTTCCCAGAACAGAACAGAACATTGCTTTAGGTAGTAGTGACCTGGGCGGGCTAGATGTGTTAAGGCTAGTAAGCAAATAGTCTGGGATGATAATATTGCTAGGAGCATCATGAATGAAAAAATACTACTGCAGGGAAGTGTGTGGCCTTGAGAGAAAAGCTTCCAATTAAAGAAATTGTTATTTTGCACCTGATCTTCCTGGTACGCAACCCCGAGAACTAGTGTAGCAGGGAACCCAGGATGCCATGAGCTAAGGAAGCACAGATCCTTGAGGATTCTTCTCTGTCATTGTCTAGGAGACCTTTCCAGGAATAGATTACTCACAGAAAAATTCTTCACCAGTTTTTGAGCTGTTAGTGTTCTGAAGTCCTCACTCCTGATGCACATGTTATCAGTCTGCATATGTTAGCAATATACATGTACCGTGATTTTTAAAATGTGTGGATATTTCTCCCCTCTTGTTTTGTACTATAGTTTCTCTTGTATTGTGAAGGAACTCGTTTTACAGAGACCAAACATCGTATCAGCATGGAAGTAGCAGAGTCTAAGGGATTGCCTAAACTCAAATATCACCTGTTGCCCAGAACCAAAGGTTTTACTACTGCTGTCCAGTGTCTCAGGGGAACAGGTATATATTTTGGCTTTGATTACAGTGTTTATTAATAGCTAATAGAAGTACCCAGCTTCAGAAGATTTCAGATCTCCATATTCCTACCGAAAAAGTCAAAGGTTTCCCCTGACATTAAATCTAGTAGTGTCCGACTCTGGGGGTTGATGCTCATCTCCATTTCTATGCCGAAGAACTGGCATTGTCCGTAGACACTTCCAAGGTCATATGGCCAGCATGACAGCATAAAGTGCCATTACCTTCCTGCAGAAGCGGTACCTATTGATGTACTCACATTTGCATGTTTTCGAACGGCTAGGTTGGCAGAAGCTGGGCCTAACAGTGGGAGCTCACCCCACTCCCTGAATTCCAACTGCCAACCTTTTGGACAGCAAGTTCAGCAGCTCAGTGGTTTAACCCGCTGTGCCACCAGGAGGCCAATCTACCCACTCACTATCCTCTTCCTACCTAGTTGACAACAGAACCTCTCCCTTTTCTGAAAAGTTTGAGGAGTTTGGAGAACCTGCAAGAGGAGGTAGTAGAGGAACCACCTAGAGAAGTGAATATTCCAGAGATTCCTCCTTGTTAACTAGGAAAGATTTGAGAAATCAGCCACCTGGTACCTGAGAATGGTGTATTAGGATACTGTGATACTAAAATTAAGCTATTTTAAAAACAAATCTCAATGTACCCGCATTTGAGATTACCTTAGTATCCGTGCCAAATTTCAGGTCTCTAAGTTTCATGGCCTTGAAGCTGTGCTTATACATTTCCACAGTATTATTGATTCTTTGACATAGCTGTAATTGTTGGTCACTAGACTTGGTTGATAAATGCAAAACCTCTATTGATATAAATGTTGAGATTTTACACTACCAGGGTGGGTTTTGTTGATGATGTCAATAAACCAATTAGTTTCCCTTTTAATTCTGTGAATCTAATAATACTACTTAGCACTTGTATTTATAAAGTGATAAGCAAACGTACCCTCATTAGCACTCCCAGCATGCGCGTGAGGTGCTATGCTTGTGGCTGGCTAAATAGCACTGTTGCTTGATTATATTTTTCTAGTTAGCAGGATCAAAACAGTGCCGTAGATCCTAGAATGAAAGTCATATCAACTCTGTCACTATTGGTGAAATTGTCTCATTGTAGACCATTGTTCAGCCACACAACCCCTGAATAATATTCTCTTCCAAGGGTTTCAGTAGTCACTTTCTTAAGTGTCCAATGATGAAGATTCAATAACTTCTTCTCCATTGTGGCTATGCTGAGGAAGTTCCAGAGCTGAGTGGTTTTTGGCAGCAATTTTGCCCCTTTGGGCATAAGTATAAATGGCAGTAAAAGCTACTTCCTTCAGTCTCATTGTTTCTATTGTACTATTCAGTTTGGATATTAGCATTGAGTAGCTTCAGTTTCTTCTTTGATTTCTTCTTTAATTTTTCCAATTTGAGAAAGGAACTATTTTAGTTTTTTAGCAATCACGCTTCTAGCCATAAGTGTGGCTGCAACTAATACTGCTGGAATTGTGACACAGCTATTGCTTGAGGTTTATGCTATTTGACCAGCATCTTTTTGTAAACTCTCCATACATTCACGTTTGCATGTGTTTAAATGTAAAGGTAGGAGCACCCAGTGGCACAATGTGTTAAATCCTTGTGCCGGCAGGACTACTGACTGACAGGTCAGCGGTTTGAATCTGGGGAGAGTGGGTTGAGCTCCCTCTGTCAGTTCCAACTCCCCATGCGGGGGCATGAAAGAAGCCTCCCACTAGGATGATAAAACATCAAACATCTGGGCGTCCCCTGGCCAACGTCCTTGCAGACGGCCAATTCTCTCACACCAGAAGTGACTTGTAGTTTCTCAAGTCACTCCTGACATGAAAAAAATGTAAAGATTAAACTGAATCCTAGCTGTCTGGGCAGAACAATAATGAAGATATAATTTTGCTTACAACAGTTTCAGCTGTGTACGATGTGACGTTAAACTTCAGAGGAAATAAAAACCCATCTTTATTAGGAATCCTTTACGGAAAGAAATATGAAGCAGACATGTGTGTCAGGTGAGCATGTATATTCCCCACTTCAAGATATGGTAATACAAGGGATGTAATCTATGCATCTAAATCAATTTCATAATCCCAATGTGTGTATATTTGAGGGCTGTCCTCGTATCTCCATTTATTGCTGAAGCTGCCTCTGTGGATTTAAAATCCTTGAGTCTTGCAGCTTGCTTAGGACAAGCATCATTTCACCACTAGGAAGAGCACAAGGGTAAAGGTGCACATGAACATTGCACAATTCCTTTACAAATAGTAATTGCCTCTGGCTGCTGTTTCAGTGGGTTCCATCTTTTGTTTGAAAGATATGGTTGGAGCATACACTGTCTAAAGCTCCATAAATTTATATTGCCGCCTCTAGAAAATATGGCCCAATCTTGCTAAAAGGTAATCATCAATGTGTTTTAGACAGTGAGGTCAGCCTGACTTGAAACCCCCTGCTTTCTCAGACTGGTTGGTGAGCAATGTGGACTGATGAATCAACTCCCTCACTATTGTCCTGTTATTTATTTGAAAAGGCTTGTAGGAAGAGTTTGGCTGAGTCAACTGTAGACCTAGTAAGTTCTTCCCACACAAAATTATGGTGATGATAATTTTCTCATATTCTTGGTGCCTTGTAGGTATAATTGTAGTGATGTCCCCAACTATCTTGCAACACGGTCATAGGAAATGCAGAAGATCTGGATCAGAGGTAGCAGATACAAAGCTCAGGGGACTTTCTGGGGCCTACAACACAAACAGATTCCTGATCCATGTCTTCATCAATGTCGTAAAACCCCTAGATTAGACGGATGGTCCGAGGAATTGGAGAGAGCATAATAAGAGTGAAGGAGAGTAGGCATAATTGCAGAATTCCCAGTATTTCCATGTTCCCAATGAACTAGGACAACTATAGGCAGTAACCTTTGGTTGGTTAGAGACTGATGTATTTGAACTGTCAAGATGGCAGTAATAGCAATGTTTTTCAAACAATGGAGTGACGACACTATATGTAGTGCCTCTTTTCCCTCATTCTTCCTGTAGTTGAACCAGAGCATTCCTACCAAAATCAAATTTAAGTGGTATCATAACTGGGAGTGACCAACATCAGAACCTCTAATGTTGTAACAGTCTACTACTTCATGAACTTCTCCATTAATTAATCTCTTCATGGACCTAAGTCTCCTGATGAAAAATACGATTTCTTTGGGGCCTTTAGCTTTTGTGTACTGAGCCAGCATGGTGTAATGGTTTGAACATTACATTACAACTCTGGAGACCAGGGTTTGAATCTCTATTCTGCCAAGGAAATCCAGCCTCAGAGGAAGGCAAAGGCCAAAGCAAACCTCTGGAAAGATTTTGCCTAGAAAACTCCATAATAGAGTCACCACAAGTTGGAAATGATTTGAAGATTCACAATAACAATATTATTATTATTATTATTATTATTATTATTATTATTCTCACCCCTGGGGGGACTCAAAGCGGTTTACAACATAATAAATGGCAAATTCAATAACTCACATATATATAAAAACAACATTTTTTTTGATAAAAGAAAAGGAACCATTTATACTATTTGTAGAAATGTTGCAATAGTCTTTGTCTTTCTTTCTATATAAAACAGCTCAATTTGCCCCTGCAATTTCAAATAATAATAGAGGAATATTTTAATTCCTCTACATATTCTGATTGAGAGCCTCCTCTAGTGGCATATTTATTTCATGTGCAGGGTTTTCCATGATAACTTACATTAAACTAAGGATCAATTAACCTCAATACTCTGAAGTTGTCATATCCCATTTGATTTTGGAAGCTAAGCAGGGTTAGCCCTGGATAGTACTTGAGTTGGAAACCTCCTCCAAATACAAAGCTTATGCTTTTTTAAAAGGAAGGAACTGGCAAAACTATTACTGAGTATGTCTTGCCTAAAAGAAACCTCTGAAATTCATGTAGTCTCCATAAGACAAGTGACTTCTGTGCATACACACAGAAGGACTAATGCTGTTCATCAAAAGGACTGTTGAGGAGTTTGGCCATGTCAATCTGTCTTACACATGTTTGTACATTGTTGGCACTTTCAAAGTTCCTTGGGTTTAGTGTGGATGTTTTGCAGGCAAAATGTTTGCTGGTATACCTTTTTTACATAATCGGAGGAAGTACCAGATATTTATTGTTTTATTTATTTATTTCCCATACTTGTACCTTGCCCCTTTTACCCTGAAGGAAGACTCAGAGCAGCCTCACAACTGGGAACAATTTGATGTCCAACAAACAAACAGATTCCAAAAAATAACAATTACAATTAAAACTAGCAATCCAACATAATGGTTAAAACAGCAATTAAAATCACACATGTTCAAAACAAGATAGCCATGCTCCAAGTGGTAAAACTTCTAGACTCTAAATAACTATGAGTAACAGCACAACCTTGTGCAGTTAACAGCACAATCTTGTTCAGAAATAGATAACACTGTGTTCAAAAGCTGTTACTCACAGGGTAAATATTTTATTATTATTATTCAAGGCAGTTTGCAACATAAAAATAAGATAGCTGGAGTCTGGTTTGGTGTATTTCTAATGACTCTGACTCCAACCAAAATTGTTTCTGCTTTCATAGCCCTGCATGGATGGTCCTTCCCTGATTTAATAGTATGTTGAGGTGATAGACCTATAGCACTAAAAGCAGTAGTGTATACTATTGTCATAGTACTGTTATTCTTTCGGAGTACTCCCCTGTTTTATTCTGGATTTAATTCTTACAAGTGAGACTGGGCAGCAATGGTCCTCCATATATTTTTAGACTGAAATTCCCAGAGTTCCTTACCATTGGCTATGGTGGCTAAAGAGTGTGTAGGTTAAAAATGTCTATAGAGTTACACAGATCTTCTGGAAGTCATTATTTCCCCTCATATTGAAAGTATTGCCTGGGTTTGAAGCTAAGGGCACTCCACACAGCCATATAACCCAGAATATCAAGGCAGAAAATCCCACAACGTCTGCTTTGAACTGGGTTATCTGAATCCACACTGCCATATATTCCAGTTCAAAGCAGATAATGTGGGATTTTATTCAGCTGTGTGGAACGGGCACAAGACAGAGAGTAGCTTTCTGAAGTCGGCCTAGAAAATTCAGAGGTTGGGAAATTCAAGCCAGGGGTCTCCCAATTTATATCTCAGTCCCCTGGCCACTATACTACACATTTACTGGTTAGAAACTGGTAAAAGGAATGGAAGATGGGTTGCTTGTCAGTAAGTGAAGAGATAAAAGCTTGGCAGGTTGCCTGGAGTCAAACCAGTGCAGTCTCACTGATAAATTCCAAAATGAAAAGTTCTGGGAAGAATTGCAGCTTCTTTCCTGACCTTCAATGTTTTGTGCTTGATAGCAATTACTCCGCCACATGAGAGTGACATTTTGGAGATTTTAAAAGATACCCCTTATTATTGCCTAACATAGTCAAGGGTTGACAAATGTCACTGAAAGTCAAATTTGTTCTATACAGATCAAATGGATTAGGATGGGAAATGCAACAGTAATTTCAAAGTTGTGTCAAAGCACCCATTCTTCACACTTCACACTTTGGTATAGAAAAATATAAGTAGGCATTGGAGGAGGACAGAAAATGAAGAACTGATTAAAATCAGATGTTTTACATTTTCCTGTGTATTTGTTTTAAGGGGACTTTTAATATTATTTTTATCAGCAGCAGCATTTTTACTTATTTTAACCTTTTTCTCGAGACTGAGACTCAAGACACCTTACAAATTGTAATGGTTATAATACCACTAAAACATACAAGGACTCAACATTACAAGAGAATGCTAATAATATTAGTTTTTGACGTCCGCTTAAATAGCAGTTAAAATAGTACCATTTCAAACAATATACATGACATCCAGCTATAATTTTACATATTGTTTATTTTCCCTCTTTCCTGAACTTCTTTTAAACAAACTAGGAGGTTTCCCCTAGAAGATATTCCCTTAGATGAAAAGGAAGCAGCAAAGTGGCTTCATACACTTTATCAAGAAAAGGTGAGTAGTTTATCTCTGGATCTTACAAAATACCATACAGCCCCTATAACCTTGAGGGATACATTTCAAGACCCCCGTAGATATCTGAAGCAGTGGATCATGGCAAACCATATATTTTGACTATACTTGGGGTGGAAGCATACCATAGAATCACAGTAGAGGATCTAGAGAGACCTGCAAACTGGTCAGTGGGTCTCCTCTAGTTGAAGCTAACATAGAATAATAGAATCGTAGAGTTGGCAGAAACCACCAGGGCTATCCAGTCCAATCCTTGCTACAGCTGGATTTAGGCCAAGAGATACTACTAACTTTTAAAATAACGATGGGAGTTACCGATCATAAACCTCCTATGTTACATCTCCAGCACTTGATCAGTAAGTGTGATATAGGCTTTCTGTACAGGGGCCCTTTCACACTATTTATTTATTTACAGTATTTATATTCCGCCCTTCTCACCCCGCAGGGAACTCAGGGCAGATCATAATGCACACAGACATGGCAGACATTCAATGCCATAGACACACAACATATATAGACAGAGACACAGAGGCTATTTAACTTTCCAGCTTCATGGGGGTATGCTTTTTGAATTCTGGCCACTGGGGGAGCTGTCGCTTCACCATCCACTTGTGACACCGATGGAGTACTTCCTCATTCTTTTGCAGCTGCTGGAGAGGTTTTTAAGGTGTTGTAAATTAGTTAAATTAGCCACCCCGCATAAGCGGTACCTAAATTTCCTACTTGACAGATGTAACTGTCTTTCGGGCTGCAAAGGTTGAGAGCAAGCTAGATAAATGGCCGGAAGCTCACTCTGACCCGGGCTGGCTTCGAACTCATGACCTCTCGGTCAGTAGTGGTTTTAATGCTGCTGACTCTCAACCAGCTGCTCCAACAACCCAGTCCACCTCTACACAATTGTAATTATTTGTTTGTTTGTTTGTTTGTTTGTTTATTCTATTTGTATTCCACTTTACTCCGAAGGGGACTCAAGGTGGCTTTACATATGACAACTAACTACAGTAGAGTCTCACTTATCCAACATAAACAGGCCGGCAGAACATTGGATAAGTGAAAGTGTTGTATAATAAAGAGGGATTAAGGAAAAGCCCATTGAACATCAAATTATATTATTATTTTACAAATTAAGCACCAAAACATCATGTTTTACAAGAAATCGACAGAGAAAGCAGTTCAGTACACAGTAACATTATGTAGTAATTACTGTATTTATGAATTTAGCACCAAAGCATTGCAATGTATTGAAACAACTGGATCCAGGTGGGAGGCAGACTGCGTTGGATAATGCAGAATGTTGGATGAGCAAAGGTTGGATAAGCGAGACTCTACTGTATTCAATGCCTTTGGACTACTAACAGTTAGAATGCACTTAAGTTAAAAATTAAAATTAAAATCAAATTAAATGCACATTAAAACATATAAAACATTGCATTCACTATTAAAATCACACCATCCTCAACCATCATCTGGGACCGTTCCAAAGACCAATTGCACATATTTTGAGGCTATTATTGCACTATAGATTAATCTTCAAAGGCGTGACCCCAGAGCCAGGTTTTCACTTTCCTTCCGAAGGCCAGGAGGCAGGGAGCTTCTTTAATATCACTGGGGAGGGAGTTGTAATGCTGTGATTCGCTTTATCTGCCATGGTTCCAACCTATGGAGTCATGAGATTGGCAGTTTAGTGAAGAGTACTTAGAATTCACTGCCAAAGACCTCTAGTACCTCTCCAAGATATCATAGGATGGTGCCATGGCCCAGCATTGCAGAATATGTGAAAATATTCTGAGTTTAATCATTGCCATATATTCCTAAGATCTTTTTCTAGTGTTCTGTCTAAACATTGTCATATTTTAGGATATTAATAGCAATTTTAATTATGAAATAATGGCTGCATTTGTGTGACTAATGTAATATATGAAATTGGCACATATTTTAGCTTTTGGGAATGCTGTCTTTTCATTCAGCTCCCTCTCTGTATTTCTTTGGTTGGTCTATACATGGCAATTTACTTACATTATTTTTATAGCTTTCTGTGGTTCCCTTTCCTAGTGATATGGAAAAAAGTATCCAAGATCTATGGAAGTAGTAGTGTACAGATTGAAGGCATTATTTATAGGAATCCAGGGGTAGATATTTTAAATATGTTTTTGTGTATGAAACAATTATGATGACACAAAAATACAAATTTCTCCACAATAGCCCATAGAACTGGATCACAGAGTCTTACTTCTGTGACAATATTAAATTCTAGTGGATTTTCATTGCTTGAATTATTGTGCATTACCAAATTAGGAAACCTTTCTTTTTTTCTTTAAGGATGCTTTGCAAGAGAAGTATAATCAAGAGGGCATTTTTCCTGGACAGCAATTCAAACCTCCCAGAAGACCATGGACTCTCCTCAACTTTCTCTTCTGGGCTACAGTTCTCCTGTCTCCTCTTTTCAAATTTGGCTTTGGCATTTTTGCAAGTGGATCACCTCTTCTAATTCTTGCATTCCTGGGCTTTGTTGGAGCAGGTAATAAAAAGGAATAAGAAATTTGGGGCATTCTAGAATTGAATTTAATGTCTGCTCAGAATTTTGTGGTACAGCTAGGTACCACTGTCATTTACACAGTTAACCAACGTAAGAGGAAGAATGATGGATGGTATCAAATCAGTGCTTACCTATCTGTCTCTGTGTAATACAAAGGTAGCTGATCTTGCTACCCCTTGCACTTGCTTCACAGTTTATTCAGTCATTTTCCCCCAGATTTTCCCAGGAGCTCAAAGCAGTTTTCAATTTACTAGGCTTGGCCCTAATCATTGCTAACGAAAAGATTTGTAGTTTTCAGAGGGCTGCTTTTGTTTAATTTCCGAAAACAGAAAGGGGAAGAGAGAGATGAAAAGACCAGCTAGACAGATTCAGAGAGCCAATATTTTCAGAAAGAGTTAAGTCCATAAAATACCTGGAGCAGGGTGATCTGCAGTATGTTTTTCTCTCCAGACAGACCACAACTCAACGTCCACTGTGGAATTGTCAAACCAATTAAACTCAAAAATATTAAATACAATTTTATGTGTGGACTATGACTTTAATAATCAAAATAAGTCAACCATCAACACCACTAACCTTGTTGTCTTCATAGTTGGCAGCCATGAAAAGGCTAGTGGGAAGCCGTGTCCCACCTCCTGGCTTTTTCACCAGCCACCATCAGCTTCCCACCAGCCTTTTCAAGCCACCTTTGCCTCTTCCTCCTGTGTCCCCATCTGGGATCTCAGTGCCCTGTATTACTCTTCCTAGTAATGGTGGGTTGAAGCAGAAGAGATTATGCAAAATAACTGCGTATATAACTACAGTTGGCCTTTCACTTTTTTGTGGGTTTGATTATTAATCAATTTGATTAATGAGTTCTCTCTAGCAATCTAGATTTCTAGTATGATTCTAGGGTCAACTTTTGTCAGAGATACCTAGAGAAAAAACTTTTCTACACATTTGTTGGTCCTCCAATTTGATTCTATGATGGACTTCCCCAAGTTGACTATTGAGGTGTGATGAAGGACCCCGGGATCCTAGAGAAGTGTTCCCTTAGGTTCTCTTTTTCTCCACTAAATTGTGAAGTAACTTCAGGTAGAACTCATAATCTCCTTTCTCTCTTGTTTTAAAGCTTCCTTTGGAGTTCGCAGACTGATAGGAGTAACGGAAATTGAGAAGGGCTCCAGCTACGGCAACCAAGAATTCAAGAAAAAGAAATAATTTCACAGATGCAGTTCTGAACATATAACAAGACTATGGTATCAAATTAACTTCATTGAAAGAAAGACACTTAGAAAACTTATCTTTTTTTTTCTTATTAACTGATAACTAATAATACTTGAGCCAAGACTGAAGAAATGGGAAAATTCAAGAGAAGAGGAAACAAATTGACTACTTATCTGCCTAAGGATCCCTGTGTTCATAGTTTTTGGAGAAAATCTGGGCTAAAAAACAAAACCCCACAGAAACTTTTTTCCCTTTTTTTGTGGGTGGGTGGGCGGGTGGGGGGAACGTATGGGTGACGCTACATGCATCTTCAGATAATTTTTTTGTTTTTCAAGAATACAACACTCGCTATTCAAGGAGAGACTGAATGTTTCTTCTTGTTAAAAATTGTTTAACATTTCCTTGTTTTTAGCATCTTTTTGAAGAAAAAATTAGGCAGCATGCATCGCAGCAAACACACGGTATCCAATTTTACAGCTGTTTCTTGGAGAGGAAGCAACTTGGAAGGAGGAGTTCATCTTTGCAGTCATTTTAGTTTGTCTTTATTCTAATATTTATTAGTGTGTACAATGGCATTGTAATGACAGCTGCACCTTTACTGATAAGCACACATTTTCAGTCAGATCTTACTAGGATGGATGCAGTCCTAACTTTGCCCCCTTTATGTTGTGCCAGTAAAATTGGCACAGGGCTTACAATGGCCTACATAGATAATGAACTCACTATTTCTGTGCTCCAAAAATATGGGGCAGATGTGTCAGGAGTTGGCTGAACTTTGCAGTATTTGTTGGTTTAGTTCTTGGGTTTCTTTTAAACATCCAAATGGTGTTTCTGTTGTCCTGGGCTGTCTTCTGGCTTCATTCTTTAAAGAACAAAAACAAAAACAGCATTAAACACACACAGGAGCAGAGCTTGGAAAAGGCCCTGTTTTTGAAATGCAGCTTCTTGAATCCCTCAATCCATACAGCCGTTGCCTGTGCTGACCGACAGATTCTTAGGGTTGCAGTCCAAAAACTTCATTTTCCCCAGGTCTCCATCAATGTCTGGAAAAAAAATAGATTTAACTACTCTTAACAACAGTAAGCATTTGGAGTTAGTCATGTGTTTGAGTGGAACTGTATATCTTTAAGTTTGCAGTTGCAACCATGTCTAACTGAAAGTCCTTTCATCTGAAACTAAAAAAACATTCTTCCAAGTAAAGTTGTAGGATCCAAGGGTTGGGATGTTGTCCATCTGCTCTGTGTTGTTGCAACAGATTTACAATTTTACCAGCAGTCTATTTGCCAGTGAACAAAAAATGATATCTACACATCAAGTGATCTAAGTAATTCATTATCATTATCATCATTTTGTTAGCATTTTTTGCTGCATGTTCTATCTCCCCAAAATAGTTCTGATCATCTCTGGCTCCAAAGAACACGGACAGAAACTACGCAGCCTTCATAGTTTTATCTTTGAGGGTCCATCATGGCCGCTTCCCATGGGAAAGCTATTGATTTGAAGTGGCCTGCGAGCCAACTTCAAACCAATTTGAAGCACATTTTGGCTGAGGTTGGAACTCTTAAATGTTTCTATTGAATGGATGTTCTAAGCAAATGCTTAGCCAAAAGGAGGCAGCCTCCATCCAGAGGCTGTCCTGTTTTCGTAATAGAGCTTTGCAGTTTGATTAAAATTTACACATGTTTTAAAAGGGGGTATCTGTAAGTATGTGACAATGACATGTGTCTTCTTCCAGTGATGGGACCAAAATGTTGCAATCAGCTCTGTACCAACAAAACAAACATCTGAATGAAGTTACCTAAATAGAATTCAAAGCAGAATTGCTTACTGCTGCTCTAGTCTATGTAATATGAACACACACATTCTTATCTGAAGATTTGATTCTTGTCTTGCAAGACTATATTAAAACACAGAGTGTGCCCTCTCTCACTCTCACTCCCTCAATGCAAAGGATAAATATGTAATATTTTACTTGCAAAATGTGACTGTTGACACTAACTTTTTATTTCTCACACCATAGGAGGTCATTTAACAATTTCTGAAATACCTTTATTTGGAATTTGCCATTTGGGCTGTAATCAAAAAACTGATATGCAAGCATGGTAGAGAATGGACTGCAGGATAATCTTTGTGTTGCTCCTGTGTCTGTTGCTAAAGAGACAAGCCATTTTTAAAAACTTAACTAGTTGTTTGTCTCCAACCAGAATTACCATCACAACAGAAGCTGTAACTGTATTTGTTTTTTTCCTACACATATATATACCAGTACTTTTGATCACAGCCCAGAGTATCCATGCATTTGCTGTGTCTCTTTCCCTTAACAGAGCATCCTTCCATCGGTCATGGAATACACAAGTTATGCTTCCTGAGAGAAATTACATCTGACCTGTCTCTAAGGGCAGACAACTCATATATTAACTTCATTAGAAGTTGAATATGTGCTTCTTGGGAAGGAGCAGAACCCAGCCATGACTACTTTTTTAAGCTCCATAGATATTTTTTGCTTTTTATTTGTTTTCATACTCTTAAGACAGCTGGACAGAATTTCTCTCCAGAGGTATGAAAAGGTTGGGATTGTGTTGTTTTTTTTTTTAAGTAATGGGTAAATAACTGTTACTTGTTGGGAGGGTTTTTTTCCTTTAACAAATGCTGTATAATTGCTTTCCAACGATTTTGAATACATTTTAATTGCACCTAATAACAAAAGCAGAGCAGTGTGTTACAGTTACATATGAACAAGGAGTTATATACCTAAATGAGCCCAGAAATGTTTAACATACTTAAGAGGGGTGGAGTGAAGGTCAGACAAGAAGTTGGAAAGAAGAAGAATGAGTATATAAATCTTTTTTTAAAAAATAGGTGTCTAGTTTCTACTACTTAGTACAGATAACTCCTGCTTGAAGGTAATGGGAGTAGTGCATGTATATTACAGGGGGGGGAAAGCAGATGTTATTCTTCTGTTTTATTTTCATATCATGGCATATTGATCATATTTTGTTTTGAAAAACATAGCAAAGAGCACACATTTGTCTGCAATTCTAGAAAGACATATCCATTTTGAAAACAGAAACGTAACAACATTGCACAATATAGTATACGACCGCATTTTTTGGCTTGAACTTTGGTTTATCTCTTTAAATAGTTTTTTTAAAAAAACGCAAAGTGTGTATGAAAGAATACTACTGGAAATAGCAGCAAGTGTGTCTCATAAAGAAAATCAGATGGTTTGGATTGGAGCCCTGAGCATAGATTTTATACTTACACTATTTTCTTCTGGTTTAATAGAACATAGCTTGTATATTTGACAACCAAGCCCTTTGAGAGCAATAATAAACAAAATATACCATGAGTTTTCTTTTCTTTCCCTTTTTTTCCTTTTTGGTCTTCTTTATTATTCAATCTTAATCATTGCTACAGTGTCAACAGTGTTTCCCTCCTCCCTTTCCTTTCCATTTTCAGTGCTGTGTTTGTGTTTTGATGTATAGGATTGAAATGGAGGTTTTAGAATCTGAAATGGAGATACATAGGTTGGGATCTCAGAGCTGTACTAAGAGCTTTAAAATGTCTTGTGAAGTTTCCCCCCTTTTTCATAAACATCACCACAAATAGATTCTTTTAAACAAAACAGCATTGCATTGTGAGATGGGATTCCTGCTGATCATGAAAACACATCTAAATCTGTCCCACCCCAGTAGATAGTTTAAAACTAATTGCAGACAATCCCCAAGTTATGAACAAAATAGGTTCTGTAGGCTTGTTCTTAAATTGAATTTGTATGTAAGTCAGAACATGTACTTTTTTAAGTGTAACTCCAGACAGAGATAGGTAGGTAGGTAGGTAGGTAGGTAGATATGAGCTTTGTATGGAAAAACCTTTTGTGAAAGGTTAACATCCCTGTGATGTTTGTTTTGCTGTCTGTGCCCCTGTTCAGAAGATTTCACATCACTTTCTGTTCCTATGAGTATTGGATTTTGAAAAAAAAATGGCTTGTTATGGAAACAAGGATTTGGAACAAAGCTTCGATGGAGACCCCTTTTCCCCATGATAACTCTTTCTGGAGTGAATTTCCCTTCAGAGGGGCAGATTTATCTCACTTCTTGTTGTCTCACCCCCATTTGTAACTATGAGTCATTTGTAAATCAAATGTTTGTAACTCGGGGACTGCCTGTATGCAGTTCTTTGGATCTATGCCAATGGAACAAGCCACCTTCAAGTTGGGTGCATTTAGGTGCCCTGAATTAATTAACCTTGTTTTAATTAACCTTAACACTGGTATATATTAGGGCATTGTTTTTAATTTGAATAACAATGTGTTTGGCACACCAAGCTCCTTTAGTAGTTATAAATCATGTTTAAGCAGAGTAGGATTAAGGAAGAAAACCAAAACTAACAAAAGCTCTTCGAATTAAAATAAATCCTACTGGAGAAGTCCCATGTATTTCTGGTACATAACCTATAGACCAGTGGTTCTCAACCTGTGGGTCCCCAGGTGCTTTGGCCTACAACTCTCAGAAATACCAGCCAGTTTACCAGCTGTTAGGATTTCTGGGAGTTGAAGACCAAAAAATCTGGGGACCCACAGTTTGAGAACCACTGCTATAGACATTGGTTTCACACTTGACTGTAAATATTGTAACACCTGAAAAAGTAATAGGCTGAAAGGAGGAGGGCATATCAAATTTCTTGCATAATTCTATTGTTTTTATCAACTTGAGATTCCTCTTTTTCTACTTCTTCAGTGCTCCTATGAAAATATGTATATTTCAATCAGGGAGTTTAGGACATATCTGAATACAAGAGCAGGTCAACTTGCTGACTGTAACATAGAAATTAGCTTTCATTTTTAAAGGCCTCTCTCTAACACTACCTCCCCAGCTCAGCTGATTAATATGACACTATTATAGTATGCACAGTTTACATACCCTAAATGTACAGTTCCTATCTGATCTTGGAAGCTAAGCAGGGTCAGCTTAGAGACCATCAATGAATACCAGGTGCTGCAGGCTCCATTTCAGAGGAAGGAACTGGTAACATCACCTTTGAGTATTCCTTGCCTAAGAAAATGTATGGGGTCACCATAAGTTATCTGGTGACTTGAAGCCACATACACAACATGCACATACTGTAGTATGCGTCAAAGGAGGTGTAACCTGGGCTGGTTCTTGCATTAGACAGGAAAGGTGAATTGTCTCAAGAGCTGGAGAATAGCAACAATAATCACTTGGCTTGGCAGTCCTGAAAGATACCCACCCAACTTCTGTTTAAAGGCCTTCAAAGATAGTCTACCACAAGACGTTTCTTTCCCATTTTTCCTACAGAAAAGAATGATTCAACTCATGTCTATTATGTTAATCAATTAATGGTCTTCACATTTTTGACCTCCAGATGTTTTCAATTTCAATAGAAATCCCATCCAACCTGGCCAATGCTTGTAAATTCCAAGACAGGAAGCCATAAACATCTGGAGCACTAAAGGCTAAGAACCACTGGGATAAATCTGACTGTTGACCAAGTTGGCTGGAGCTTCTGGGAATTAAAAGTCCAAAATAGCTGAAACCAGTGATCTTAGTGATCCATCAATTTCAATAATCCCAGAAGATTTTAGCAAATCCCACAAAATTTGGTCAGTACTACCAAGATTTTTAGAACAAAACACCTCCATCATTATTCTGCTTACTAACTTGAAAAAGACATATCTCCCCCAGTTTTTTTTAACCCTAAGCATTTTGTTGATACAAGATATTTTCCATAATGTTCATTGTGCAATTTTAGCAGCTGCCAAAAATACATTATCTAAACTTTTGCTTTGTTTGTGTTAGTCAAATGACAACTGTGCTTTAAATTGCAAAGAATGTAATTTCAATAAATCAGATTTGCTCAAGATTGACAGTTTGTACTGGAAGTACTTCATTATTGGGGGGGGGGGGCAGACACAGGGGCACAAATATTGCTTGATTGCATTTATCTACTTACTTCTGTTGTTCCTTTTGGAATTCCAGCCTTTTAAGGAAGCCCTTATATTAATCACTGTCCAGAAGGGAAATAGCTCTTTGTAAAACTTAGCCAGTATTAGAACCTTAAAATGCAATCCTGCACATGTCTGGTTAGAAGTTTTATTCCACTGACTTCAATAGAATTTAGGCCGATGTAAAGGTACCTAAATGTTACATTAAATCAACAAGAAAAACAAGGATAAACAATTTACATTAATTACCTTGTGGCATAACTCCATTTCTGCAGTACTTTACTGAAGCTTCCTGTTTACTTCACTTTGCAGTAAGCTGTTGACCTTCAAATACCTCACTCAACAGCCTTCAGAGGAATTGGTTTCTAAGAAAACACACATAGTCCTTTTATCACAGAAACAGCACAGATTCACACAGCAGTGTTCTTCCATGCACCACAATGCTGCTGAGAGGATTTAACTGTTGTGAAACAGACACACCTCATCTAAGGTTTTTCCCATCTTTTAAAAATAAAGGACTTGCTCACTAAATGAGCAATATGATATTGTGGCGGGTATTTTTCTTGTGTGATTTTGGAAGTTATAGTCCCAACACCCAGGGACCAAGGGCAAAGAACATGATCCTTTTAAGAAGCTATGAAAGGAGGAAAAAAACAACAGATATTCTGTTCCTAGAGCATAGAAAAGTTACTTTTTCAACTACAGCTCCCTAAATCCTGAGCCAGTACTGCTACCCACTGCATTGGCCAAGAGCAGCTGGAAGTTGCAGTCTATGTAACATATAGCTTTCAATACATGGAAACTAGAATTCCTGTTATGTGGTGTTGAGTCACATTTTAGAGGAAATAAATTACCAGAATTTAAATTTGAGAGTACATGACATAGCTATGCCACTAGATGGAGATACTGAACTGTGTCCTAACTGCCAATTAAAGCAATTCATTCCTAGGGAGCATATACACTGTAGAATTAATTCAGTTTGACACCACTTTAACTGCCATGGCTCAATGCTATGGAATCCTGGGGGTTGTTGTTTTGCAAGGTCTTTAGTCTTCTCTGCCAAGGAGTATTGGTGCACTTCACCAAACTACAAGATATTTAACACTCTGTGTTTGCATTTTCTGGGGAAATTTATCTGTCTTTTTTCTTTGGACATCGAAAATGATTTTCTAAAGGAAAGTAAAAAATGACCCACAGTAATGTTATAGCTCCCTGTTTCTGTTGTCCTTTTTTGGACACTGTAGAACTTTCTAGCTGATGTGATCCCTGCCAGATGATTCCTGTCCAATTGGTCACAGCAAGAAACTACTGACTCAGGTCTAAATTAGTGTAGACAACAAGGAAACTTTTGTCCGTACAAATCTAGAATTTATTTACTTGCTTACTTAGAGAAAACAGCCTAATTCTCTTGTCTTGTCATCTTTGGGGGCTTGGGGAGATGATGAAGTACATGGAGTGCCGTACTGCTTATGTATGGCTTTCTGTCTCTTCCAGGGATGGCTGTTCAACCTGCAAAATGATTAATTACACATTCTTAATGGAGTTACTTTGCTTTTGATAATAAAGAAAAGTTATTGTCTCACTTTTGCTGCCTTAGTCCTTGGTCCCTGGGTGGCTAGGATGGGGTGGGACACCACCTTTATGAACCCTTCCTCACCAATACCTTCTGAAGCATTAAAGTAAGCAAACATTTCAAACAAAAGCAGCAAGCTTGTGATCCTAACACCAACACTTTTCTTCTCCTGTATAATTTAAACAATTATCTGATGAAGAAATGGGCTTTGAAAACTAGCATAGTTTATTTTGCATCTTTTGGTAAGGCCTAATAAAAGTAAAGTATGACACCTGTATCTGTGGTGGATGCTTTCCAGGATTTCACACAAATATGCAGAATTGCAGATAATAATGAACCCTACTGAATGAATTACTTCCAGTTGAAGCATACCATGGGGAACCTAGAAAATGTCAAGAGATGACACCTCTCTAGGCGTCATTATATCCTTCAGTACAAATCTAGTCAACTTCTGGTGAAAGCATATCACAGAATCACCTGGAGAACTTAGAAAATGGCTATGATGCAGGATATATTTTGTTAGACATGAGTAAATGAAACCTCAGATGCTGTTTTACCGTAATGCTTATTTTGGATTTTGTTGTATTTTGTTGTATGGCCAACATGGCTAGTCCTGAATATATGGATTGTTTCATAATAATTGACCCAATTTCAAAGCAGTATATTTCACAATTGCAACATGTTACAATTACACAAAACATTAGAAATGGTTTAATGAGTAATCAAGTTATCAAGTTTTACTAATTATTTTGAGCCAGAAGCAAATTTTTGAAATAACCTCAAAAAAAGGAGAATATCTCATTAGGTCTGCTGTTGTGGGGTTGCCACCTCACGGATGACTGAGGCTAAGGGCTGTTTGTGTGCTGGGAGAGGCATCTAGCAGTTATTATTATTATTATTATTATTATTATTATTATTTTGTCGTGTCAGGAGTGACTTGAGAAACTGGAAGTCGCTTCTGGTGTGAGACAATTGGCCGTCTGCAAGGACATTGCCCAGGGGACGCCCGGATGATTTTGATGTTTTTATCATCCTTGTGGGAGGCTTCTCTCATGTCCCCGCATGAGGAGCTGGAGCTGATAGAGGGAGCTCAGCCCACTCTCCCGGATTTGAACCTGCGACCTGTCTGTCTTCAGTCCTGCCAGCACAGGGGTTTAACCCATTGTGCCACCGGGGGCTCCTCTAGCAGTAATAATTTGAAACCCTGTGCCCTATATTTTCAAGTGGTAAGAGTTTCATTCAATTGGGCGTTTTGTGGTTACAGTGACATAGATTTCAATCTGGTCTATTTTGTCATAAGTAAATACCCAATTTAGAGTTGTTTCCTCATGTTGAAGTCCTAAGTATAACCCCCCACCCCACCCTGAAATGAATATGTAGACTGTACTGTGTAAAATGAAGTTTTTGTAGAAGCTACAAAATCACATTTGGTACCTGGTATTTCCAAGGAAGACTGGGGAATTATCATCATCATCATCATCATCATTTTATTGGCACAAAAACACAGTATGTCACAACAAACAAGATCTATATGCTGGATTTCGTATCACAAAATCACAAGTCAAACACTTCCAAGTGTCTTGGACTGTGTGATGTATTTTCAAATGATGCATGCAGATCCAAGTAAGATGGCTTTTTGCAGTTGACAGATCATGATTTTGTCAATGTTGATTGTTTCCTGATGCCGGCTGAGGTCGTTTGGCACAGCACCCAGTGTGCCGATGACCACTGGAACCAACTGTACTGGTTTATGCCAGAGCCTTTGCAGTTTGATTTTGAGGTCTTGATAACAGCTGAGTTTTTCCTGTTGTTTTTTTTGTTAATTTGGCTGTCCCCTGGTATGGCAACATCAATAATCCAAACTTTTTTCTTTTCCACAATCGTGATGTCTGGTGTATTGGGTTCCAAAACTTTGTCAGTCTGGATTCAAAAGTTCCACGGTATTTTTGCGTATTCATTTTTTTTACTGCTGGCAGGTGGTACCTGTGACATAAGTTCCAGTGAATAATTTGAGCCATAGAGTTGTTCCTTTGTTTGTTGTCTGTCTGAGCGATTTTCTTGCAATAGCGGAGGATATGGTCCATGGTTTCATCAGCTTCCTTGCACAGTCTGCATTTTGGGTTATCAGCTGATTTTTTGATCCTGGCCTTAATTGCATTTGTTCTGATGGCTTGCTTCTGGGCTGCAAGAATCAGGCCTTCTGTCTCCTTCTTCAGTGTTCCATTTGTGAGCCATAACCAGGTCCTCACCCTGTCAACTTTTCTTTCAATTTTATCAAAGAACTGCCCATGCAATGCTTTGTTGTGCCAGATGTCAGCTCTGGTAGTTAGACTACCGCCAGCACAGCTCTCAGCATCTTTGGAGCAGTTAAGCCCCCCACCACGACAATGTGGCATCCATCGGGGGTTATTATTATTATTATTATTATTATTATTATTATTATTATTATTTATACCCCACTTTTTCTCTCCACAAGAAGACTAGGGTTCCTCCCTGAAACACTCAGAGAAGTCGTGCCTCCAACAATGTAAACAGTTCTGAACTACGGTAAGTAGATCACTGCTTTATCAAAACAGCTTCCTATGTTACTTCAAAAAGTGATGTATCAGAAGAATTAAATGGAGAAGCATGGAAGCCTCCAAATAGGGCAGTAGAATCTTTTCAAGATTGTTGTTGTTGTTCATTCGTTCAGTCGTCTCCGACTCTTCGTGACCTCATGGACCAGCCCACGCCAGAGCTCCCTGTCGGCGTCACCACCCCCAGCTCCTTCAAGGTCAGTCCAGTCACTTCAAGGATGCCATCCATCCATCTTGCCCTTGGTCGGCCCCTCTTCCTTTTTGCCTTCCACTTTCCCCAGCATAATTGTCTTCTCTAGGCTTTCCTGTCTCCTCATGATGTGGCCAAAGTACTTCAACTTTGTCTCTAGTATCCTTCCCTCCAGTGAGCAGTCGGGCTTTATTTCCTGGAGGGTGGACTGGTTGGATCTTCTCGCAGTCCAAGGCACTCTCAGCACTTTCCTCCAACACCACAGCTCAAAAGCATCGCTCTTCCTTCGCTCAGCCTTCCCTAAGGTTCAGCTCTCACATCCGTAGGTTACTACAGGGAATACCATGGCTTTGACTAGGCGGATCTTTGTTGCCAGTCTGATGTCTCTACTCTTTACTATTTTATCGAGATTGGACATTGCTCTCCTCCCAAGAAGTAGGCATCTTCTGATTTCCTGGCCACAGTCTGCATTTGCAGTAATCTTTGCACCTAGAAATACAAAGTCTGTCTCGGCCTCCACGGTTTCTCCCTCTATTTTCCAGTTGTCAATCATTCTTGTTGCCATAATCTTGGTTTTTTTGACGTTTAGCTGCAACCCGGCTTTTGCGCTTTCTTCTTTCACCTTGATTAAAGGCTCCTCAGCTCCTCCTCGCTTTCGGCCATCAGAGTGGTGTCATCTGCATATCTGAGGTTGTTAATGTTTCTTCCAGCAATTTTCACCCCAGCTTTGCATTCATCAAGCCCCGCACATCGCATGATGTGTTCTGCATACAAGTTAAAAAAGTTGGGTGAGAGTATGCAGCCTTGCCGTACGCCTTTCCCAATCTTGAACCAGTCTGTTGTTCCGTGGTCAGTTCTGACTGTTGCTACTTGGTCCTTGTACAGATTCCTCAGGAGAGAGACAAGGTGGCTTGGGATGCCCATCCCACCAAGAACTTGCCACAATTTTAATATGATCCACACAGTCAAAGGCTTTAGAATAGTCAATGAAGCAGAAATAGATGTTTTTCTGAACCTCCCTGCCTTTCTCCATTATCCAGCGGATATTGGCAATCTGGTCTCTCGTTCCTCTGCCTTTTCTAAACCCAGCTTGAACATCTGGCAACTCTCGCTCCATGTATTGCTGGAGTCTTCCTTGCAGGATCTTGAGCATTACCTTACTGGCATGAGAAATAAGGGCCACTTTTCAAGATAGCAATGTTGAAATTATTAATAGAAGAGGCCTCTCTTCAGCTCAGTGGGTATTAAAC